CTGTTACACTTTAATTGTAAGATAGTACAACTTCTCTCTCTCTCTCTCTCTCTCTCTGTCTGTCTCTCGCTCTCTCTCTCTCTCTCTTTCTCATCACATGTTTAAATGCGCAGATCAATCAAAAGAAAATTAAATTTATAATTTATAAATTTTATATTTTCTAATTGCGTTCCTCTGTTAGTATGTAAAAAAAGAAAAAAAAATATATTATCCTTAAAAAAAAATTTAATCCCTCCATGATAAACAAAAGGATTAAAGATTTGTTTATATTTAACAATAAAATACCTGAATATGTATGTAATCGAAAATGAACCAGAAAAATATCCATATACCTTCCAAAGCTTAATAAGCGAGAAATAAAAACGGAGCGAATAAATCCCTCATAGAGGAATATGCGCAATAAGGTAATTTCGTGTATATAGGGTATCGAGTAACAGTAACCTTTTAACTTTATTTATCGATAACTTATTTTTATCTAATAATACACTTATTCATTTCTACAATATCTGATAATGTGATGAAGGAATAATCAATAAAAAGATAATTAAAATCAATATTAAAACTTCCTCTAAATTCTTTTCATATTGTATTATAGCTTAGCTCAACACGCGTAAAATATCAGTTTTAAGACCGCTTTTTTAAAACGGAATTTTACGTGGTTTCGCCAAAATTTTTGAATATACCTGATGCAAATTTTATAGTAATAATATTAATAATACTAATAGAATAAAAATTGATTTAAAAGGCAGGAAATAAAAAGAAATAAACAATTACTTGTCTGAAATAGCATATTTGTATAAGAGAAAACATTAATATTCTTAAGATAATGTTACTCGATTAGATTCTGAATGTTTATACGCGAATATAACCTTTGTATCATATTAATAAAAATTCGTGATAATTTACACGATAAAATACAATAGCTTAATTGAAATGAAATGTATCTTTGTCATCGACATGAAAATCATGTTTGCTAAATATCAAGGAAATCAAGTTTGGAGACATTGCACAGCCTGTTAATATATGTGTAACATATTTCTATTGTGAAATCGAAACGATTAAATTTTCTGTACATGTAGATGCGTTGTATTAAATTTTTACTATTGCTCTCCAATCTATGCAAATTAACTTTGCTATTTTCAAAATGTTACGACCATCACAAAGTGTAAGGCAATCAGGATACATTTGAATCATACGTTTTCTTCATAATGCCACAAAGAATACAAATACAAACGATAAAACATTACAATTACAAATTGTCGCGTTTCTTATTCTGTACTTTTAGTCAATTATTCTCTACAAATTGGCTTTGTCATACAATTACAAAACAAATACTAGTTTCGTACATAGTACGTTATTACATAATTGCATAAACGCAAAAGACGGCACTTTCTTTTCACCACTAAGAGACTTCTCTTATTCAATATATATACATATACATCAAATTTTACTATTTCGAACAATTACAAAAACAGTCATCAACAAAGTACGTGAGAAATCTAATATAATAAATGGAACATATGTAATAATCATAATATTATAAGATTCATTTTTTTAAAATAATTTTTAATAATAAATAACCAATAATTTCCATTTTAAAAAAAGATGAAAAAAAGAAAAAATTTTAACATCAAATACTGGAACATCTTAATATTTTGCAAACAGTATCTGCTATGCAAAAATATACAATGTTTGTTAATTTCTTTGTTTGTTTCTTAATTTACAATTCTTTTAGTTTTGAATATTAATTAAAACTTTGTTAATATATCGTGGAGGTAGGCTCTATTATTTTGATTAATAGATAAATTTGGAATTAAAAAAGAATATTAAAAATTTATTCGGCCAATATATTACTAAAGGAATAATATTAAAATAAGTATTTTTAATTATTATAAAATTCATATTTTTCTCATTTAAAAATGTGTTTTTCCAAAGTATTAATTTCTGTTATTAATTTGTTTTAACTCCTCTTATCTTAAAACTGATTAACCAAAATCTTTTTATATATACGTTCATAATGTTCAATAGCAAAAAACATAGGTAAAATTGATGCATTTAAGAACTTATTGAAACTTTTCATGCTGGCATAACAAAGAAAAACTAGTAGCACGATCTAGTTTTACATAAATTTGTTGTAAAAATCATATATCAGTTCAAAGAACTCAACTCATTAAGTACAAAATACTCTGTGTGTGAGGGCGTGCATATGTGTGCGTTATGTGTATATATAGTACGCGCGTGCGCTATTTATATATATACACACAATATGTACATAAAATAAAAAAATTATACATATATATACATATATAATAATAATACATATATACATATATAATTTTTTTATGTATCAAACGTGGCTGAACGTACAAGAGCTGAAGAACGTTTCACATTGCTTGTGGTTTGCCGATGACTACTTCTATTTTTATCCCCACGTGAGAGTAAACCCTTTGCAGTTTCTCTGAGACTAGCTCTTTGGTGAATACTAACGTGTGTACGGCTACTGCTGTGTGTAAGAGGATGGTGATTCACCACCAGAGATGCAGAAGACTCACCAGATTCCCCATCTTCATCACCCGTTGTATCTCCGGTCGTATCGCATTCACTGCTGTCCGCTTCACTTGATTCGCTCGGAGTGTCTTGTCCTCCCATTCCTATTTGTATACCCTCTCCTGTTCTATTTGTTGTCGCTGATACAGCTTGCGATATAGTACCACCCATTCGATGCATAAATAAACTAACCTACAACAACATTCGATTGATTAAATAAGATTCATCAAAATTTATATCAATTTATATAATAAAGATACATTTAATGCATCAAATATGTATATGTGTATATATATACATATATACATATATAAGTATACACATGTGCTTACTTTAAAATCAGCACTATACACTTTGTGATGTTTATCTTTATGTGCGTCATCCAAACCCCATTTATCTATACTTAAAACAAGAGTAGGTGGCATAGGTCCGAGACTAGCCAGCGATCCGGCCCGGGATTTCATATGCGACATAACCATTGGTAATTCCATAGTTGTACCATCGCAACTCAATGCCCTAGTTGAACGCTCAACTGGTAACTCTCCGTTATCATATTCTGGCGATAAATAATCCCGTACAAAAAATGTATTGAACCAAAAATGGAACAATTTCTCCTAAATACGAAATAAAAAAAAAAAAGATTGGTTATTTAAATCATTAGAAACAATTAATTAACTCATTTTCAAACAGAATAAATACCTTTCGTTTCATTTTTGGTCTGTTAAAGAAATCCACTCGTATATCTCCTGTCAATGCTACACTGTGTTTTAAAGGGATACTAATTGTATGCATTCCTTTGCGTACTTCCACTATATCAGAGCTAAATATCTTTTTTTTAGATTCAGATATTACACAATGTAAATCTAAAATACAAAAATTATATATAAACATACATTGCATTTAATTTTTTGAATATATTTTGAATATTTTGTTTTTCTTACATCCTTGACCTCCATGGAAAATGGGTGCCGGATCCAATTGTATTTTTCGTAACAACAATGTAACAGGTTGATAATTTAATCCTTCTTGTACAAGAGTAGCATAATAATCCACATACCTCCTCTGTGAAGGTATTGTTACACCCTTTCTGAATAATAAACAATATTGATAAGAGTACCATTTATGTACAATAAAAATAAAATGTAATATAATTACCTATCGTGTGTTCTTTTAGTTCCATAGTAATTAAGGGCTTCTGTGGCAGTGGGAAATTGTTTAATATGAAGAAGGTAACAACACACCATAACACCTGTTCGACCTTTACCCGCTTTACAATGAACTACAGCTACATTTTCTTGATGCCGAGAAAGCCATTCATGTACATCTTCACAAAATGGTCTAATTTGATCCAACATTGGTGGATTATGATCATCAAATGCATATGTAGCTACTCTTTGTTTAAATTTTTTAAAATCATAAGATCTTTCTGAACATCTGAAAAATATATTTGTTTTAAAATATTTTAGAATCTATTGTTTTTAATTTTTTAACTTTCAAAAAGAAAAATATAAAATAATATTTAAAACGCTTACAAATTGTAAATCTTATAGTGATCTTTATGTCTAGATTCCAACAGTTTGACAACATCATCTATATGATTCCTATATACTCCTTCTAATTTTTCAGCTGGAAATCCCATTGCTATTAAATTATCTCTTATATCTATTATTAATATAATTATGGTTAAGGAATATAATAAACTTATATATATTATAATATATATAATTATAATATATAAAAATTATATATTATATGCCATTTTTGTATATATTTGCATATATTTCAACATAAATGGCTATAAAAAAAGGATACATGTGAGATCAAGATCAAAACCATCTTCTGTGAAACGCCTACGACGTTTGCTCACCATTCCTTTAATACGGTTAGTCATCTTCATATTACTGATAGTATTGGACATACTTGGCTGACTGAATTTCAAATCTCCTGTTTTGATTGCAATAATTTCAGTTTCCACTTCTTCTTTACTACTCCTTTCTTTTGTTTTCTGCTTTTCAAATAACTTTTTTGCCTGAACAAAAAATTATTTTATTTTTTTGTATTTATATTATATTTTATAATGAAAATAATAAGAATTTACCTGTGGCTTATAAGCCGAGGCGTCACAAGAGCCCAGTTCTGGTCCTCTTTGTTCCTCCAGACAAACATGGAGGGGTGTTACTGATGCTGAGATATGTTCTGAGATTTTATTATTCAGCCTGCTGCCTGTAGGTCTCCTGCAGGAAAAGCATATACCCATTAATTCCCAAAGCATGTGTTCTTTCTATTATCCATCTCATTAAGTTATCTTCCTTTGCAATTGTATGTCACAGTTATAATTTGATAATGTCACCATGACCATCACAAGTTCAATATAACAATTATAATTTGCACAAAAAGTAAAACTTTGTACAATCTGAGCACTATACACAACACAATACACTAATGAACACTATATAAGTGCTCAACATAACAGTTTAATTATGATCAATAATCATAAAGAAGCTTCAGAAATATGAAGCAAAAAGAAACATTTGTCACATCATTCAAATTAATTTTTCACATAAAAATGATTATAAAATGACAAGATTGTCCATGACCATTACTAGAGAAAAATTACAAAAATTTGATGATATATCATCAATTATAATAAATATAACATATTTATGTACATTCATACATTGGATTTATATCTTAAAAATGATCAAGTAATATATTATACAAGCACTGGCAAGTTTTATGAAAATCACGATGAAAGAAGATCAAAGAAAGAAAAAACAAGAAAGAAAAAAAGTTTCAATCGACTATATGTCGATTTGAATATAAACGATAAATGATGATTTAAAAAAACATACTTGCATAAATACTGTGAATACTCAATCTTCATACGATTCTCGATAAAATCAAAAATATAATTAATACAAAGTATTTTCAGAATTTTATAAAATAACGATCACAGTCTCATGTTTTACGATAAATTAAAATCGTATATGGAAACAGTAAAAAAGAATAGCACTTGATACATAAAAAAAGAAAAAAAAAAAGAAATGATAAACGATTAACATTCGCGATTTATGACCACTTGGTTACAAGTTCGCTATAGAAAGAACATTACTCGCAAGAAAACGCCGTGTAGAAGCGTCGATGAAAAGTTAGGTTAAGCACCGTTCGCAATACATCACAGAGGCCACTTAACACCGCTGTACATTTTCATGCCAGTTTCACCGATACATTGTTTGTCTTCTTCTTAATTCAATGTTCACATATCGTTTATAAAAGATTTGCATAAGATTTTAAAGAAATCGTTCGAGATACCATATTACTTTTGAAAAATAAAAAAGCAATCTTTTTTCGCATATAACGTAAAATTCACTCCAATCCTTTCGGAGCATGTTCAACTGCGATCTAGCGGCACTCCCAGTTACGGTGAATTTCTAAAGAATAAAGTTAGTATCGATAAAAATCCCTTGATCCATAGAATTTGTTGGTATAATTTCTTTACAATTAATAAATTTCATTTAATCAGATCAATAAAAATATAAACTCGTTTTTTTGTTCACAGAAGAATCACGTTTTGATGGTGTAATCTTGTCATCGTGTCAAAGTAGTAACATGAACTCAAACCACATTCTATCACGAAAGTACAGTGGTTTTTGGATAAAGAACTTATACAGATGTAATAAACGCACATATTCATGAATACGGCCGTGAGGAACAACATAATCTCTATGTTGCATCCTCAATTTGCCAACATGGATAAACACGCACACGCGATACGAACACTCACCACTAACGTATAAGATCATGCATCGCGATTGTTGCGGAATGGTTGTTCACTCTGCGAACGAACCGTCGTGATGCTACGCAGGATTTTATAGACGCTCGTACCGGGATTCGATCAGAACTAATATTCTTGTTTTCCTATTTATCTCCATTTCTTCGTTATTATTAACGAAGGTCAGTTAAAAAAATGAAGAAATAGTTAATCTTAATTAACGAACAGAAGTATTCGTTATAACATCCATTTTACAAACACAGTTTACATCTGATGTGAAATGGAAAGTCTCCCACAGCCACCTTTATCACTAAAAGCACCATTCACAATGACGCATTTGCATCACATCTATTTGTGCTTCTAACTACTACTGTTGGCAACATTTATGTATATTTCCTCTAGAAAATTTACTAATTCATTTATTTTCGGATTTTCAATTTTATTACTTCCCAATTAAAAAAAAAGAGAATAGAATAAAAAGTCACTAAGAATTTATCAATCTAGAAGTTTTTTTTATTATAAAAACTTTTGTTACTCTTTTTTAAAATATATTATTCCTATCCTTTTTTCTTGCGCATGCGTTCTTTCTTTTGTTTTTTTACCAAATATTCGTACTAAATTGTAAAGATTGTTTTTTCAATTTTTTTTGTAAAAATTATCATTCGTGCCAATTTTTTCAAAGTATAAATTAAACCTTATTTGCATTTATTAGTTTGTTATCAAATATATTGTAAAAAATTTATTGTAATTTTCTTTTAATTGCTTAAATAGAATATTTAAAAGATTATAATTTTTGCATTTTTAAAACTTGCATTGCTATTTGCTTTTTATATCAAGTTACTTTTAAATTAATTGTTTTACATATTATAAGTTTTGTATGGATGTTTTAATCTTATAAATTTTAAATTTGTGTACTAGATTTACAATATTTTTTTTATTGCATTAATTTTGTTTGTATATTAATTGTAAAAACGCAATTAAAAATAATATTCGGAATTTCTGCTTATTTATAAACACCAATTATGAATTCTTATCTGTACAATGATAAATACAAAAGTTTATACATTTAAATATAACAATTAATTAACGAATTAATTTATACAACAGTGATCAGAATATAATCAATTATTTTCTTATATTACTTGGATTTGTATACACTCATTCACCATACATACACACATACAGAGGTTACTTTCAAAAAAAATTTATACATATATGTAAGAGAAATTTCTATTAGGATAAATTTTAATTTACTATTCAATAAAATATTTAATGAATTAAAATAGTAAAATATAAATATTGGAAGATTTAAATTGTTTTTAATCATCAGAACAAATTTATCGAGTTACGTTTGAAAAAATTAATTTTTTTACAATATTTTTATATTATAAATCTTGAATTTATGTATTTTATGCAGCAAGATAATTTAAATTGTGATGAAATTTTTCTTTTTTCTTTAATCCATCAGTATCATTCTCTATGCATCGCAGACTGTTGTTTCCTTATATTCTGTCCTTTTATGTATCACATAGATTGTCATTTCTTCACATTTTGTTACCATTTACAGTTGTTATGCTATAAAGATTCAATTTCTTTTATTTTATCTCTTCAAATATAACATTAAAAAAATCTAAATATGAAATTCTATATGAGAAATAAATTATAAGAAATCTTCTACTGCTACCTCTAGAATAATTAAACAATATATAGGATAAAAAACGACAGTCAATGCAACGTATAGAGAACATTCTAATGATTCTAAATAAAAAAACCAAAACAGTTTCATAAAGTTCTCTATAAAATCTTTTTGTCTACATGGAAAGAAAATTTCAACTTGATCTCGTTCTTTGAGAGATTAAATACAAGTTAGATACAAACATAGTTGTATCTATTTTATATTATACATATATATGCATATATACACTCTTTCTCATGCATTGTACTGTTCTTGGTATTGATAATTAATCAGTTGTGAAATTTTGCAATAATAAATTCTTTTTTTTAAATATTTTTCTCTTAAATATTTGAAAACGAGAAACATTATTATAAAATTGCTTTCTAATTTTTTTTTTAAAATAAAAAATTTCAAAGTAAATTAATACATACTATAATTTTTTGTTTAATCTATATCAGATTTAAGTGTACTCAAAGTACCAGTATGTATTTTAGATGTTTTTATCTTTTTATATGATGTAAGAAGATCTTCCATTGTTATAGGTCGTACTGCATCATGATATTCTTCATCATCAGTACTGCTGGTAGCACTTGTATCTCTGTGATAAAAAGATTAATTATAAAGTTTGATTTCAACTTTTGTGTAAATAAATAATAAGACAAAAATATTAACTGTGTATGAGTTCGTAAATAATCTCGAACACGATAAATAGATGCATTTCTACAAAGTTCTTGCAAATCCGATCCAGAAAAACCTTCTGTTACTTTTGCTAATTTTGCTATATCTACATTCTCAGCTATTGGTTCATGATCTAGTATCAATTTCAAGACTCGCACTCGTTGTTCTTCATTCTAGGAAAAAAAAAAAAAAGAAAAAATATATATATATATATATATATAAACAGAAATCCCAATAATATCCCAAAAATATTGGAATATTTATAAATTGCAGATTTCCGAAGTAATTTCAAGCAACAATTCCTTTATAAAAACTTTCGTTACAGTTCTGTTAACAAGTTGTTAACAGAAAAAAATGATCAATGACAGAGCGCGTAACCTAATCAAACCATGACAATAGCATTGATAATAAAAAAAATTGAGTATGAATAAAACTAAATAACAAAACAATATATCTAGAAAAAAATTTACGTTGAATATAACAAATATTTTCTTTATCAATAAAAAATTATATCGAATTATATCATGAACAATGAATGAATAAATATATAAATAAATAAATATAATATTCAATACACTTTCTTCGAGATATGTTGCTTGGATTTATTCATGTTCAGTCGACGACACATATGCTATTATTGTCGAATGCAGGTTTCGACTAGGTTACATGCTTCATGATTGGCTAATATTTTTTATTAACAATTCATCAATAAAGCCATAACGAAAGTCTATCTGTAAAAGAAAATGTTGGTTGAAATTATCACAGAAATCTGCAATTTATGTGAACGATATTATATAAACGGATGTTCCAACATTTTAAAGATATCCAGTATAAGTACTATACATTTATATACATATACAATGAAAATGCAATATTTCATATATAAACAATGTCAATATATTCCTAAAACACATGTCTGATTTTACAAATCAAAATAAACATAAAAATTGATATACCAAAATTTTAAAACAATATAATAATTGATATAGTAATTGAGATAAAATGATTTCATTTATTTAGATTGCCTTGTTTCATCTCAACATAAATTTCAATTGCTTATAATTTAATAAATAAACCATAGTGGAAATTGCTTTAACTTTTGTATCCATTTTGATTTTTAGAATTAAATTTGAAAAGTGTCTCATGAATATATTAACTTTATATGATATTTAACAAATAAACTTTTGTATAAATTTTATTTACTGGCAAACCAATGTGAAAAGTAGCTGGCATACGTCTAAGAATAGCTCTATCTAAGTCCTGTGGTCTATTAGTAGCACCCATTATTATAACTATGCAAGAAGGATCTGTGATTAATCCATCCCAAAGAGACATGAATTGTGCTTTCATCATTGCAGTTGCTTCATGATCTTGCGAATTGCGTGCTCTTAAAAATGAATCTATAAAACAATAATTATATTAAAATGAATCTATATAACAACATATTTTAAAATAATGATATTAATGTGAAATATATCATATTTTTTTTTCCACTGACCTATTTCATCAATAAAGATTATACATGGTTGAAGTTTTACAGCTAGCGAAAACACAGCTGCAGTTAATTTTTGACTTTCACCGTACCATTTATCAGTTAGAATGCTTACATCTAAATTAATGAAACATGTTTTAGTCTCTTTAGCAGTTGCTTTGGCAATCATCGTTTTACCACAGCCTGGTGGTCCATGTAAGAGTACACCCTAAAATTAAAATATAAATTGTGATATAAAATTGTTATATAATTATACTTGTATATATTTGTATGTAAACCTTTGGTGCTTGTGTTAATTGAGAATCTTCAAATAGTTCTTTTCTTTGTATAGGCAATATAACAGTTTCTTTTAATTCTTGTATAACATGTTCAAGACCTGCAATATTTTCCCATGAAACCCGAATATCTTTGGGATCCACTATATGATTAGCTATTATCATTTCATAATCTGTTAATTGATCCATGTCTACTGACCATAATAATTATCTGTTTTAGCCAGTTTTCGTAACTGTTCTCGTGCCTATAAAACATGTAAATCACGATTTTTAATAAAAAATATATGAAAAATAAGATTGCTTTTCAAACGTGCATAGAGTATATATAAAGGTTATGTAAGATTTAATTTTTTAAAGTACTAAACCAATAACCTTTTTTCTGGCTTTTTTCTTTGCATTATTCGTAGGATCAAGTTGATTCATAATCCATTTCATACTAAAAAATCCAAAAGCCGCAATAAATGATACTCTTGCCACAAGTACGAATATTTCTGATCTCGTATATCCAACTCCATCCGCAATATTCATTGTTTCTTATATTTTGTTTCAATTTTATCGGTAAATTTCTTTGTCCAACGTACTAAATATTAATTCTTTTCTATCAATATTACATGCCACTTTAAACTGTGCTCAAATTCTTAACTTGAACATTTACAAAAGAAAGAATAGTTGTATACAATGGAAAGAGAGGGAAATGTAAGCATGCGCAAGTCATTAATATATATAATATATATAAAAATGTATAAAAAATGAGTATTAATAGTTTTAATATAAAATTCCCTACGATAATTATTGATATATGAATATTAAAAATGATTTGAGTTTTAAGAATATATATGAGAATACACGTGAATGAGTATTGCATAATGTATAATTAATTATATATATGTTATGATTAATATATAGAATATAATTTCATTCGATTGTTTTTTATTTATCAGTACAATTTTTTATAATTAAAATAATATTTTAAACAAAGATTACATTATATTTTATATGTATATATTTAATTCAAAATCTTTTCCTTAAAATGAATAAAATATATATATATTATGTAATGATTTAATAATCAATGAAATCGTATAATCTTACATTATTAAAATTTATAACTAATATATTTAAAAAATCATGAAAAAATAAAAAATATGAAAAAAAATAAGGTTAATAATAAAATTATAATAATATCAATAATACGATTATTTATGTGTATTTTTTTACATATTAATAAAACAATAATATTAAATATTATTGACAATTGTATATAAAATTACAAATTAAATTTAATAGAAAATAAATAAAATATATTTTAAATATAAAATAAGAATTAGATAATATGAATAATAAAAATTATAAGAATAATATATGTAATAAAGGAGCTCTTTTATTTATATTATAATATATTTAATGGTAATATTTTTAATATAAAAAAACATATTTTTAATTATTTGTTTAATTTATTATTTTTTTTGTTAGATAAAATATCATTATATACATTTAATTATTAACTGTTTAATTAAATGTTTAATTTTTTTTAAGATAAAAATATATATATCTTAAAAAGAAAATTAAAATACTAAGAATCAATAAGATGTATATCGAAAAAATTGGTGTTCTATTGCAAGAATTTTCGAATATTTTTCTCAATATATATCATTTTTATAAACGCCTCAGAAACACTTATAATATCGATATTAGATGCAGACTTATCATCGAATAACTTACTGCCATCTACCGTTCTTTTTAAAAATTAATTTGAATAATAAATTCATTGAAATACAATATACAAATTAATAAATTAATAATTATGAACGCAAACATGATAAAAGGAATTTAAAAAAATATTTCAAAAAGAAAAAACAACTTTTTTTTATAATAAAAGCATGTATTGGATGTATTTTAACACAATGTATCGTGTATGTTTGATTCTTCATTATTGCATTTTACAGTGATCTTTACTTTATCAAATTTTGTGTATATTCCATAGAAATCTTTGCCTTTAGGATCAGTATCACTATTACATTGATAACAATGGCTTCAGTTTTTTCATAATTCAAAATTTATTTATATTAGATTATATATAAATT